GGGGGGGGGGGGGGGGGGGGGGGGGGGGGGGGGGGGGGGGGGCGGTTACGTCAAAGATTTTGTTTCTACGGCGGCACTGTATAGAGTATTCAACAGCAGTGATTTGGATGTGTACAGTAGGCGTGGTTTTTATGAGCTGGGTGGGCGCGCAAGACTGGCTACAGAAAAGGAAGGGGGGGGCTCGCATGGGGCGCTTGGTGTGCCGCGCAAAGGCGATACAAAGCAGCAGCAGTACACCCCAGGCCGATGCAAAAGCAGCAGCAGTGGCGCTGTCCCTTTCTCAAGGGCGACAGACGCCTATGTTTGGCTGTTTGTGGTGGTGGCCTTCGTGCCCATTTCGAAGAAAAAGACGCGCGTTCTGCCTCGGACATCACTCAGCTCTCTCGCTCGACCCGTACTTGCACATAAAGAAAATGGATTGAGTGGAAGGATAGCAAAAAATGTGTGACGATCCCGTGTATTGGTGTGCAGTGTTGGTGGGGCGATCTCGAGGAGAACGAACTACTCATAAAAAAAAAAAGTGTTGATGGTAGCCCCAACGACGTTAACGTTGGACGAGTCATGGTATACTCCCGAAAAATTGCGGTTTGTGGTTGAGGTTAGGTACAATCGAGACGGCGGTGTGTTGCACACGCCTGCGGGGTGCAGCACGACAACGCTCGTGCGGCTTCCGGTGCTCTCTCTCTCATTCATCACCCACCAGCAGGTCGACGAAGGCGGCTTTGATGCCCTCCAGCTTGCTCCCGGGGAGGGTGAACGGCTCGAAATAGCAGCCGTCTTCCCACACCTACCCCACAGCAACAACAACACGGTAAGCGGGGGAACAATCAGAACGCGATCTACGCTAGGACGATGGGGGTGAGATGAATCGCATGCGAGGTGTGCATCGTTCGGCTCTGGATTGCGGCTTCATGGTCCGCACTCGACGGAAATCGAAAGAGCACTGTAGCTTTTGTGTCCTGTCCCCGCTTTCCTCGAGGTTCTGGCGGCGTTTTGTTAGTCCCGTCGGAAGGCGTGAATAGACACGGACGGCACCAAGCTTGCACCAAGCTTGAACCTAGAACCCTCGCTTTCCACGCCCCCTCCACGACAGAAGATGATGATAAATGCTGGTTTCTTCACCAAAACCAACGTCAGAGCGCACAAAATACTCAAAGGCTCTCACGCGCCGAACGTGATTGTGCCCACAGGAACGGTGCTGGGAACGGTGCCCCGTGTCAACCGACACGCTTGGGCCGACGGTCTGCAACACACATGTACACCCCCATCCCTGAAAAAAAAAGGAGCACCTTCTTTGCGGCCGCTTGCGTGTTGGCCTCGTCTGTTGCGACGAAGTAGAAGGTGCTACTGCCGGCGCCTGCCCCGTCGCCGCTGCCGCTGCCGGCCACCGCGCAGTCGTCAAAGTGCTGGAGGTCTCTCTCCAGCTTCTCGCAGAAACAAAGGACGCCACGCAACACCAGCAACAACAAAGAAGAAGGAGCCGCCAAAATGTTATTAAACTCTTTGATCGAGCCGGCAGGCCGAGACCGTGCATGACAGAGTCGACGCAGGGGATGAGGGGGCACGTAGCAGAGAGGGGCGGCCGGTGCTTCGAGCCTACAGCAGTCGCAGCCCAGAACAAGAGAGTACAGCAGGGTCGTGTTTGGTGTACTCAGCACTAGATGCGCATCTACACATATCAAGGGGATTTCGCGTATCACATTGGTATGTGTTTGTAAAAGGGCGATCCCCGTTCTGCCTTGCATGGGCAAGCATGTCCTGTGCACTCGTAAATCTCGTGAAAATCAACGTTTTGAGTAAAACCTTTCTCCACAGCCTCTGACGCAAAGCACCCGCTACCCAACAGGCCGCTTGCTTCTCTGTTTGCAAGAGCTGCTGCCACTTGAAATAATATATTTTGTGTCCCCGTGGAACACGAGAATCTTACAAAACGCGGCCGACGCCAGTGAACCACGCGCAGGGTGTGACTCGTGCACCCACGAGCAAGAAAATAAAGACAAGATCGCGAAGCCTAGCTTCCGATTCTTCCTCTGAGCGCATAAATGGGGCATCACATGAACACGCGCTGCTGTCCCTGGTTGCTCGCCGGCAGATTGTATTGTAAGCGCGTGGGAAACCAAATACATATGCATAGCGCGTAGGTCATATTCGGAAACTACAGCATGTATCTCACCGTGGCGGTGCTGATAGCCTTGACGAAGTACGTCCGCACGTGCAGCCCGACGATCCTTACCGGTCCCCCCTTCCCCCCTTCCCCCCCCCACTTTTTCGCCCTCTCGCGAACCCTATCCGCGAGCCCCCTCGCTCGCTCCCTCAGCTCCCGGGTGGGCCTCAGGACGACCCTCGTGAGCAGCGTCTCGAGCGCCTCGACCCCCCTCTGCCCCACCACCGCGCCCCCCGGATTTTTCTCCACTTCTGCGGTCCACCCCGCGGCCGCCGCCTGAAAGATTGGGTGCGACGCGTAGGCCGGGTTGCGGGCCAGCAGGGGCAACGGGTAGACCACCGTCGAGAGCGTAACCACCGCCACCGCCGGTGACCCCCCCTGGCCGGGGGACCCCCGCCCCTCCACCACGTCGTGGCACACCCAGTGCTCGAAGTGCTCCTTGGACATGTCGAAGAGAAGAGTCGCGTCGCTGCCGCTCCTTCCGCCCCTGATCTTGCCGCGGGGGGGCTTCTTCTTGTTGGGAGCAAGCGCTCCACGGAGCCCAGGAGAGAGCTTCGACAAGTCCCACTTTTATTTTTCGGATGTAGGTCGTGTGTGTTTTGTCGCGGCAACAGAAAAGAGAGAGAAAGGGGCGTTCTTACGTTTTGCATGCCTTAGCTGTAAGACCAGCGGGGGGTGGGGGGTCGAGGCGGGGTGTACTCACAGTCGTGCATGCCGTAGTCGTTAGACCATTGACCTCGCATCCCTACAAAGCCGGGACGGAGCACGCCGGGTTCTCACCGG